ACCTTTTCACTCAGTATTCATGCATGTATATCAAATATTAATAAATTCAATTGTTACGCTTTGAAACAAGATGTTTATGAATCATTATTCTGTCTTGTATTAATTGATGTGGATGGAAGATTATTGTATACACACAATTTTAAACCTTCTGATAATTCAAACCTTCTATTCCTCTCCAACACACAAACATCACAATATTAATAACTTTCAACATAAACTAAGAATTATAAAGGAAAGATACAGAATAAATATTAACGGGTTTTTACAAAGTCACACATTTTCATTCTTTTTTTTTTCATCACGAGAAACGCCAGCTTAGGGTAAAAGTACTAATGATTCGTTATTTAAGCATACACATACATTTCTTTCTTTCGTTTTTTGATCTAATGAAGCCTAGAAAGGCAAAATGCGTCATCAAATCTAGTTTCAATTAAATGTTTTTCCATTTGTCAAATTTATTCAAATGTTTGTCGAATTTAAGCACACACACATTTCCTGGTAATCTGACTGTTCAAAGAAGACTTCTAAAGTAACTAGTAGTGACTTCTCTTGAAAATAGACAAAATTTGGCATTGTAGTGTGTGTGGTCACTCACATCATAGCAGCAGAAATAGCCCCGTGTCTGTTCACAGGAATAAAAACATACACAGAAATAACACTAAAAGCATGTTAAATTGTAAATTAAAATCATACAATTTATTTATTTTTGTGTACTGGTGTGTGTGTATTTTGGGTTACAAGTGTTTTTAAGGTTGCATGTGACAAAAGGGAGACGTCACTTCGTATTATAACATGCAATGTCCCAAAGAGAAGAGTTGGACGTCTTGACTTTCCAACGGTAGTTAGTGAAGAGACTGAATTCAGCGTCTTTTGGCACAAAGTCCGTTTTCAGGCAGAAAATGTTTCTGTTGCATTCTAGGATAACTTTTAATTTTTTTATTTAAAACAACGTTTTAATGTTGTTTTATTTTATTTTATTTATAATATTCATTATTACTATTATTTTATATTTTTATTTTTATCTATGAATAATAATAATAATAATGTACCTACAGGTATTATCAAGTACCTGCAAAAAAAGGATTTAGCCTCCAAGGATATTCATCCTGATATGGCTACTAAATTAGCAAATCCAGCTTTACAAACAGAGTAAAAGTGGGCAGCTGAATTTAGGGGGAGAAGGAAGAGTCGAAGATGCCCCAAGGTCTGGATATCCTGCAACTGCAACCACCGAGGAAAACACTGATCATATACACTACATGGTGATGGATGATGGGCATTGACTATCAGTGTTGTTAGCATATCCCATGAGAGAGTTGAGAATATTCTGCACAATGAACTTGTCATGACGAAGATTCTTGATCGGTGGGTGTCACGTCTTCTGACACCTGATCAAAAGCACACCAGGCTGATCACATCAGGGGAAAATCTGACAATGTTTGAGGTAGACCTAGCTGTTTTCTTTGAACATTTTCTAACTCGGCAGTGTTGAGTTATTTACTTAGAGCCAGATACAAATCCATGCAGTGGAAACACCCCTCCACACTTGCTCCAAAGAAGGCCAACGTAATTTCATCTGCAGGAAAGGTATTTTGGAATGCAAAAAGTATTGTGTTTATTGACTATCTTCAAAAGGGTCACACTATCAATGGAGAGTATTATGATAACTTGCTGAGGAAGTTACAAAAGGCTATCAAGACCAAACACACAGGAAAACTGATGAAGGGGATTATCAGAACGATGCTCCAGTACACAAGTCCTTGGTTTCAAAGACTGTTGTGCATGATTGTTTGATCATCCTCCCTATTCTCCTGATTTGGCCCCATTAACTATCATCTGTTCCCCAACATAAGAAAAATGCATGGCTGGGAACCAATATCACAGTGATGATGATGTCATATTTGCTGTTAATGACTTTTTTAACCAACAAGATGAAAGTTACTTCACCAATGGTGTTCAAGCACTGCAACACCAATGGAAGTGTGTGGACTGCAAGGGGGACTATGTTGAAATGTTGAAAAATAAACATCAATTGGTCACATTCCATAAAAGTATCTTGGTCAGGCTATGAACTTCTCATCCGATCCTTATATATATATACTCAACTCTCCCGTCGAAATTCGACGTATGAGGGTCAAGCGGATCAGTTCCCAGGAAACCTACAGCCCGACAAAAGCACATGAGAATTGATTATAGTGGTGAAGGTTTCATGCAGGACCATCCACACTTTTTGAAGGGCAGAATACAGAGACCTGGTGCACTATGTGCCACAAGGTCCTCAAACGCAGATTTTGAATTCAGAGTTGTCCTTCTCCTAGACCAGTTGCCATCCAAGGCTATAGAACCTAGTCTGTCCTTCTATTTACCCATAGCTGGAGGGAGAAGAAGAGGATTCACACCTTTCCCAAGGGTATTAGCACGTAAGTGAATGTAATGGATTCGACTGGAATTTGAACACGGCTCTCCGATTCCTCAATCCAAGCTGCTATTACTCCACCGTGCCTCCTTTATATATATATATATATATATATATATATATATATATATATATATATATATATATATATATCGTCAGACAAACCTGTTTGTCTGACGATCGCTAAAGCGTGAAACCCAGGGTCACAAACTCACATCTATCCAACCAAATATATATATATATATATATATATATATATATATATATCAAGTATAGGATTGGTGTGTACAGAAAAAATTACAAAGACCAAAAAATACTATTCTTAAAAGACTGCTCAATACACAGTAGAGCAAATATAATTTATTCGAAAATTATAACATAAATATGTTATAAAATCACTACAAAATAGCAATTTTGTTTCAACACTTCTGGTGTCTTATCAAGTGATGGTGTTGAATGTAGAATAAAGGGTTTTAAAAGGTGCAAATCGACCAAACACTAGGGGAAACGCTGTTACATAAGCTGCAATGATCAATCAAAATACAAGTATTATCTATCTATCTATCTATCTATCTATCTATCTATCTCTCTCTCTCTATATATATATATGGACATTAAGGCTAACACCCAGCAGCGACATTCTGCTTCATGCTTAAACGCAGTTGTCAGGCCTGATAATTGCATTTACACATGAAACAGACTCTTGTTGCTGGGTGTTGACCTAATGTCTACTTTTATATTTACATACCCTCTATCGCTGATATTGAACCCATAAATATGACAAACCCTAAACTAATATTTTACAGAGGGCGATGGCTAAATTGTCGTCTAAGTTACAAAAGCAAAATTGAAAATAACACTGACATCTCATTTTAACAGATATACAGGGTGCGATGGATAAATTGTCGTCTAAATGATGCGCGCACGCGCGCACACACACACACACACACACAAATGAAATATAACACTAACATTTTATTTTAATAGATATATTCATCACAATTACCCAAAAATATCTATAAATACAAAAGAGTAAATTAAATTTATTTAATAAAATCACAATTGGCTTCAACCACGGCCTCCAGACGACTTCGGAATCTCCTGCAACACTTCTAACTGGGTTCTCCTGCTTGTGTAACATGGTGCAGAGTTCTGTTGCTATACATAGGGCCACAACAGCCACAACTCTTGACCCAAGGCAACACTACCTCCCCAAGGCGTTTAATGTAGGCCTCAGTGTTGAGTCTGAGACTCTCACCAACAAATTCGGGAGTTCTTTTCTTATCAGAAAGATCAGAGTGAGTTTTCCGAGCTGCCGTACCCTCGTAATCACCATTAGACTCATCCAACTCTTTCCCAGTCCTCTGCACTGTCCTCAGTTTACCAACCAAACACTCTGAAATGTTCGTATTGGAGCTTCCGGTGTGAATGTCAAGCTGTTTCCAAATTTCTGCCCGAGTGAATTGTATCATGGTCTTCTTTTTCTCACAGACGGTGCCCAACTGACCCTACTATAATGTATAGTCGACAAAAAAAAAAAAAAAAAAAACATGCATGAGCGATATTAAAAATATAAAAATGGCTACAATTTACCTATCGCATCTACTCTGTTACTTACTTTGAGCTCTCTTTGAATTCTGTCCTCCTTGGAAGTATCCCTACCTATTACCAATTTGCAATATATATATATATATATATATATATATATATATATATATATATATATATAAAGATTTCGAAGGGATTTCGCCATTCTATATCATTAACTTTACTAATCTACTTTTTTTGTATGAATGATTCATTGTAATATAAATTGAACTGCACCACATATTTGATATATATATATATATATATATATATATATATATATATATATATATATATATATATATATATATATATATATGAAGTATGGTGAAGTAATGAATATCCGAATTCGAATTCCAGTTGAATCAACATTCACTTTCGTGCTAATGCCCTTGGGAAAGGTATGGGTCCTCTTCTTTTCTCCTAGAAATGGGTAAATAGCAAGAAATATTGTGTTCTATAGCCTTGGATGGCAACTGGTCTAGAAGGAGGACAATTCTGGATTCAAAACCTGCGACGGTTCGTTTGGGGACCTTGTGGCACGCGGTGCTCTAGGTCTCTGTATTCGGCTCTTCAAAAATTGTGGTTGGTTCTGTAATGGTTGGGTACTTGTTTCCGAACACACATGTCTACTAGAGCTGCAAGCCTATTTCTGTTGTAGATACCCACTCAGGCACATTTGCGTTTGTTCAATGTTCAACACTCTCAGAGTCCACTTGTTGTTTATACTGCAGTTATGCTGAGCAGACCTTAGTTACAGTTTGTCGGAGAGAGTGCATAATTTAGCATGATTAACAGTTTGGACAAGGCCATTACATTCACCCCCTCGGTCCTGTGGCTTTGTTCTAATACAAACATCGACAGTTTCCGAGCAGTTCCGTCTATCCCATTTAATTCACAAGGATCAGCTCATGGTGGAGGAAGAAGTTTTTACTGCTTTTTTACAGAAATTACTCTATTTTTATTTCGTGGAAACAACCTATAAAAAAAGCAAAAAATGTGTCATCACTGTCCTTCAATGTCGTCTGCTTTTCGTAATATACTTAAATTCAGTTTTATCTCTGAGATTATTTGTTACAATTTGATTCTCAAGCAGACGACATTACCCTTCCAATTCAAAGTCGCAAGTAAGTAATCAAGTAAAGATCTAACTAAATAGAGTCCATTATCTCCAAGGTTACTTCCAACATCAAAGAAAATGGATACATTGTTTACATCTTTCTTCTACTTTTATTTTTTCTCTCCTCTTCCTTTCACTCTTCTGCAGCAAATTTGTTCTCTTTTCGCTGTCTCACTTTAATCTCCTCCTTTTTACTCTCTCTCTCTCTCCCTCACTTTTACTATCCTCTCACTTCTCCTCATCTTGAATTTATTTTCTCTTCCTCTCACCTCTATTATCTTCCTCTGTTCATTCTCTTCCCGTGTCCTTTTTTTTCTCTTTCTCTTTACCTTCCACACTCTCTTCTTTTCTGCCTTCTTTCTTATTCTTTCTCCCTCTCTCTCTCTCTCTATCTCTCTCTACTTTCCTGTTTCTACCTTTCATTCTTCCTCCACCACGTCATCGTGATTTCACTTTCTTAATTTCAACACCTCATTTTAAGTCACTCTTTATCCTCCTTTCTTTAGTGTTTTCTCTCTTCTTTTCTTTACATTGAATTTTTACTCTTTTTCTCTTTTCCCTCCTCCTTTCACTATCTCCCTTCTTCTCCTCTTCACCTGTTTATTCTCTGTTTCTTTTACTCTCCCTTCTATTACTTTACTTTTCACACTCTTCTTCCCCTCCTTCTTTCTTACACTCATTCCCTCTGTTTTACTTTCACTCTTTCTTCAACACTTCCTTACTATCTAACCCTTTCACTCTCTCCTTTGCCTCTTTTCTTATGATTTTGTCCCTTTCTCTCTTCCTTACTGTAATTAACTCTCTCTTTTTCACTCTTTCTTATACCCTCTTTCCTCTTCTTTTTCTCTATTTATTCTTTCTTCTCATGCCATTTTTTACATTTAAAAAATATACATTTACATACTGATATGACAGTTCTCACAATATAATAATAAACAATATTTTTAAATGAAGGTAATTAAAATTAAATACTCCTAGAGTCATTTAATACAGTGGTTCTCAGAGTCTCTATTGCTCCCTTTATGATCCCAGGTTTACTCAATTCCTCCCCATATTTTAAATTGTCATCTAGTAATTCTTTACCTTTCCTCTCCTTCTTTCACTATCTCCTCTCTTCTCTTTTTCATCTGTTCATTCTCTCTTCCTTTCATTTTCTCTTTTATTTTTTTTTTTAAGCATTTCACCTCAAGCAAGGTAGGAGTGCCACAAGCATGCAAGGGGTTACAGAGAGTGAAAGTAAGAGTAAAGACGGAGGGGTTACAGAGAGTGAAAGTAAGTGTAAAGAGAGAAGGGTTACAGAGAGTGAAAGTAAGAGTAAAGAGGGAGGGGTTACAGAGAGTTAAAGTAAGTGTAAAGAGGGAGGGGTTACAGAGAGTAAGAGTAAAGAGAGGGGTTACAGAGAGAAAAGTAAAGGGGGAGGGTTACAGAGAGGAAAGTAAAGTAAAGGGGAGGGTTACAGAGAGTAAGAGTAAAGAGAGGGGGTTACAGAGAGTGAAAGTAAGAGTAAAGAGGGAGGGGTTACAGAAAGTGAAAGTAAGTGTAAAGAGGGAGGGGTTACAGAGAGTAAGAGTAAAGAGAGAGGGGTTACAGAGAGTGAAAGTAAGAGTAAAGAGGGAGGGGTTACAGAAAGTGAAAGTAAGAGAAAGGTGTATTTGAGGAAAGGATAAAGAGAAGAATGGGGATCAAGATCAAGGCATCAGAAGATGTCAATTGACATTACATTTAAATTTTTGAAGATTATAGTTATCAAGGAAGCAAGTAATATTACTTTACTTTTCACTCTTCCTTTCTTATTCTTTACTGTCTCTTTTTTTTTAACTCTTTCTTATACCCTTATTTTTATTTTAAAATACATTTTTAATCCATACTGATATGACAGCTCTCACAATACAATTAAAAGTAATATTTTAAAAATAAGTAAGTTAAAGTTAAATCCACCTAGAGTCATTTAATACGTTGTTTTTCATAATCCCGGCTGAAATTCCTTCCCTTGCGATCACAGATATCCTCAAATTTTCCCCTATTTTGTAATGTCAATAAGTAAGTCTTTCTAAATTATATTTATGTCTTATACATAAGACTGAAATTCCTCTCTAAAGTTTGAAATTTCTTCCATGGAAACCAAGTGATTCCTGTTTGGGAATCATTGATCTATGGCCAAAACATTATTAGATATTTGCTATTTACTAAACTGAGTTTAAGATAAGCCCAATACAACACTGTGGTAAATCCTGTAAGATTTAAAATTATTATACCAGAGAGTGGTCTACAACAGGCATGTCAAACATGCATTCTGAGGGACACATATGGCTCTTTACAAGCACACCTGCTGCCCACACAAAGAATATTAATTTGGTCATTTAACAGCCAAAATTGAAGTTTTTATAATCTACAAATTACAATATTTAAGAAAATAGATCCCATGTTTTTTACATTTTGATTTATTTTAATAGAATACCAAATAAAAATACCATTTACTGCATAAATTTATTTAAAATAATTTTAATATTATTGACAAGCTTTAAGTTAGTAAGCTATTATTTTAATAATTGTAGCAAACATTTGATATTCTTGGTGGCTGAGAAAATAGTGCAGGAACAAATTGTAGTCAGGTTGCCGGCCATTGCACCACGAAAACAATATGGCAGCTCATTAACAATTGTAAAAAGAAAACTTTCTTGCTTTCATTTCAAAAGTTTTTGCTTTTAAAAGTGAAATGTCAGCCAAAAAAAGTTTTAGAGGTGTTATCAAAATTGCTTGGAAGTCACAGTTGTCAAATGAAAATTTAGTTCATTTTCCTATATGCAAAGAACTGAAAAATGCTGCCAATACGAAGACTGTACTTATCTTTGCTAAGTATGACAGTCACCTAGAATTGATGTCAAAAGAATTTTAGAAAAGATTTAGTGATTTCTTACATTTTGAACATCAGGTTACATTATTCTCAGCACCAGTCATCTTTGATACTGCCAAGAGAGAAGAAAGCCTGTAGATGGAACTATTAGAAATGCTGTCGGATTCTACACTCAGAGCAAAATATCTTGAAGTGTGAATAATTGGTTTCTATTCATACCTTCCTGAAAATTTGAAAAATTTCAGAAAGTTTCCCACAAAGATTATGGCAATGTTTGCTTCTACCTATGTGTTTGAAGCTAAAGAGGGATGTTTAAGGACAGGATAAAGAGAATAATAGGGATCAAGTTCACGTCATCAGAAGATGTTGATTGACATTACATTTAAATTTTTGAAGATTATAGTTATCAGGAAAGCAAGTAATATTACTTTACTTTTCACTCTTCCTTTCTTATTCTCTTTCCCTCTGTTTTCTTTTCATTCTTTTTTCAATACTTTCTCTCTATTTCACTTTCTTTCTTCCTTTTCTTTCTCTTGTTTTTTCCATTTTCTTTCTTTTTTTTATTTGTATTTACTGTCTTTTTTTTTTAACTCTTTCTTATACCCTTATTTTTATTTTAATAAATTTAATACATTTTCCTTCATGAAATTTAATATTTAATTTAATTTAATTAATCATGAAATTTAATATTTAATTTAATTTAATACATTTTCCTTCATGAAATCAATAAAAACTTCTCAGAGAACAAGCCTAACTGATCAAGATTTGTCATCTCAATCAAAACATCAGGTAGAGTAAAAGGGATGCTAATTGACATCACTTGATCGCATTTTCTACTAGTTTTAGAATTGTTTTTACTATTTTTAGTGTTTTAATATGGCTGAAATTGCTGTAGAAATTCCAATTCTCAATTGTAACAATCATTCTGAAGTGAAATTGCTCTATGGACCACTAAAATATTACAGTGGACCCCTAATTTTCTATTTTTTTTTTGTGTGGATGCTCATTAATGTTACATGGAGCCCCCATTGAGAACCACTGACTTAAAATGCCAAAAGAAATTAATGAGAAACAATGGAAAAGAAAACATAGACAAAAAAGAAAAAAATTGATGATTGGACAAAGTGTAATAACTGTTCCAGCAGCTGAAAGCCGGTCCATGGCTCCAACCATCAGCAGCAGTTCCAGCTTGCCAGCCAGCCATCATCATCTCCAGCTTGCCATCACTCTCTCTGTCTTTTTTACAAATACTTTCATGGTAATTTCTCCGATGAGCTGCTTTTGCTGGTTCCCAGACTTTGCGAATTCAAGCATCCTACGAGGCTGGCATCCCACTCCCACCCTTTCACTGTTGAAACTGTTAAATGTAGCTGCCTCTTCTACTCAAATATCTTCATATCTCGCACCTCTCGCCTGTGGAACTCTCTTCCCTATTCCTGTTTCCCTGATAGCTATAATCTCCAACTATTCAAATGTAATGTCAATTGACATCTCCAGTTGCCTTGATCTATCCACTATCCTTCTCCTCATCCTTTCCTCTATCACTCTTATCTGCTCTCACTCCAAATTGTCTGTAACCCCTTTCATCCTTGTGGCTTCCCACCTTGCTAGAGGTAAAATGCTTTAAAAAAAAAAATCTTTCAGCTATTTCTCAGAAAGGTGATTTTTAATTTTATTAGATTGGGAAGGCAACCCCAGTCAATGCTAGCATGTTAGTCACAAGTCATGACTAAGTGTTTAAGAATACTGACCTTGTTCAAGAAATTGTTCAGTCTGAAGTCGGGTGACCGGCTGATCAGTTGAACTCTCTGCCTTCGGGCGGGGAGGAACCCTAACGAGGCTAGGCCGAAGGGCGGAGTCTCTTTCGGGGAGGTAAACCGACCCTGAACCTGTTTATTCGGGTTTAATTGGTCATATTTTTGGCCGAGCAGACGGGCTCGGAGATCCCATGTTAAACCGGCCTTGTGCCACATGATGCCCTCATGGGGGGGGGGTGTTGACTAAATACCATTCAAGAAATTGTTCATGCTAGATTATGCACTCTTTTCCAGAAAATGTAACTAAGGCCTGGAAGGAGCGGGTGCTCAGAAATGAGTAGTAGTTGGCCATTATCAATATATCAGATACAGTGCAACAAAATAAAATATCAGGGGTCAAATCAGAATTAGAGTGGAGACTAAGAGAAGATCAGTGTATATCTTAAGTTTTAAGGATTCTTGATTTTAAGGGATTCTCTTGTAACAGGAAGGGAGCTTGGAAGAAAGATTTATTCTCCCAATTGAATTTCCTCTATTATGGGCATTATATCTATAATATAATAACACTGTAGTTCATGGACACTATAGTTCATGTGTGTCACTGTAGTTCAAGTGTGTCACTGTAGTTCATGTGTGTCATTCCTTTTTCTTTTCAGGAATGGCTGAAAAGGAAAAGGAGTAACACATATACTTTGTTCTCAGAGAGACTGTTATATCACTAAGACAAAACTATATATACATATATAGACATGTCCCACGTGGAGAATAATATCTTATATATATCTACACAGCAAAGCAAAGCGAAACAAAAAGGAAGGATCTTTTACATATAATATGGATATACTTCTGTCTCTGAAGAAGCCATGTTTAGGACTCTAGATTCAAATGGGCTGAATTTGTCTATGTCTCAGACAAAGACATATTCCACGAATGGGAAACAGTGAGTCTTAGGTTTTCCCAAATTGAGGACTGTGAGCTGGAGTTTCATTCTATATCTGGGAAAGATATATTGTCAAATGGAAATGACATCATGGACTTATAAGCTGTAGAGGAGGCAGATTTAGCCTCAGCCTCTTGGACCAGGCTAAAAGAAAGCGACCTCACATGGTGGCTGCTGTAAACAAACTGAATTTAACTGCTGCTTTCATCACTG